AATATGAAGGTACACAAGGAGTAGAATGGAGCCGTGGTAACGTAGGTGAGGAACATAGTTTTTTTGTTTTTTGCTATTATTATGATAACATAAAGATACACGTATTTATAAATGTAATTAATAAGGTGGAGAATGTGTCTTTTGGGAGTTATGCGGTCGTGAGGAATTTTTACCGTCTTATCACTATGTACTCACTTTTCAACAACCTGCTGTGCACCTTATTACAGTCAGTTTGAGGGAGCCTCTTACTGTACAACTTCAACAAGTAAAATTTTGGCTACGATTTATTTCAGATCGTATTGCATCAACTAATTTTGGTAAATTTAACTATTTATTTTACCGAAGTACAATTATACTCATTGATAAATTGTAGATTTCTCAAACACGTTTTTATGCAATAGGTTTTGGTGGCAAATACAGTGATGTTAAAGTAATTTTGGTCGGGACTTATGCTCCAGAACCTCTTGCATCAAATTCAAATAGTGGTAGTCTTCTTGCCCCACTTTTGCCTTTTTTGAAAGAGTTCACACCAATTTTGGGAGATGAACCGCAAATGGTCGCAGTGGATGCAACTAATTCTTCTAGTCCTGGTCTGAAACTTCTAAGATCTTACTTGAATAATGCAAGGATGGAATTTTTAGAGGTGAAGTGATTACAATACGATTTATTACAGTTACTATACTTTTCACAGTTTTACACATACTACAAAACAATTCCTTTTGTACTATCAGTCACAGCAAACTAAAAAAGTTTAATTTAAAAATTGAAAAAAGTATTACGAGTCTCTCAGTTTTAACCGAGTTTCTCAGTAGCTCGTAATTAACTTCAGTATTTTATGAAGTTGAATTGTCTTTAACAAATTTAGATCTTAATACCTTATTTAAAAAATCTGAAACACACCAAATTAAATAAACTATTGCATGTTGTCATATATAGTATCAAAAAAAGAAAATCAAGATCATCTTACACTGGATTTGAATTGAGAATATATGTAAATCACATTTAAATGTGTTGTTGCATTAATATATTATTAATTTCTTTACAAAGAAAAATTATATTATTAATAGTAATGAGACTGTAAATAAATTTAAATGTGGTTTTCATTTTGAAATCTCAGTTCAACACAAAAACCTTAAAATCTGCAATCATTTCATGCTTGGTTGCACGAGCGACTCGTTCCGTCAAAAAAGATCAAATGATATATCACCAAAAGTTTTATGCCTAATATATAAAATATCAAAAGGTTTAGGTTCAGCTTAATATATTCGTGTACATAATTATACTTCCACATTTTTTTACAGGGATATCGCCAGTGTTTGTACAGCATGCAATAAATGTGTGCATTAACATTTTCAAAACGATTCTAATTAGAATCGAGTCATTTCATTTGCATAGTGCCAATTACATTTATATGATTCACATCTCTTTGATTTCAAATCCCGCAATGTTAATACTATGTTGAACAAAGCATTCATTCCTAAATATGAGGCAATTGTTTTTGTTAAAGTTATGATTCAGTAATCCATGGTCATTTCATGATGCATGGTTCATTTGGTATATATATATATATATATGTACAAGTAATTAAGCTCACCAAATATGATACTTTGTATTATCCATAATTTTCAATTCAAATAATTATTTGCGATATTTAATCAAGCACATTCCTAAAAAAAAGATATTATAAGTAAATTTTCTTATATCTGCTGTCACTCTATCACATGATCAATTTACTAACGACATATATTTTAGTTGCTGATTATTTGGTCATTAACGTTTATTAACATCAGCCTTACTGCATGCAATGCATGATGTAGGAAGGACCGGAAGTTGCAGAAAGTATTCTCCGACGTGACACGCCGCGGGCTGCGGCCTCGTACGTGCCCTTGGCGAATCTTGATAAACAGGTCGAACTATTTCTCAATTCCTTTGATAAAAGTGATGCGTATAATGAAGCTGTAATTTATTTAATAATTTCTCTAATGCTTTATCCCATTAATACATACGTGCACTACTGTCCAATGCAATTAAGAAACTACTCTTGTATATATTTTCTGCATCAGTGTATTATTTAATATTTGTCCCTTGTATTTTATTGTTAAGGATTTAATCATCTTATTATAGAGTGCACTAGTATGGACTGGTTTGGCTGATTCTTGGAGGTCGTATGTTCAATCTTTAGAGGTACCTCCAGTTATGTTCACACAAGAAGAATTTTTGAAGGAAGTGAGAAAAATAAATCCATTAGTTTCTTTAGAGCATTGTAGGCACCTTGGATTGCAATTACAGGTTTATATTCTTACCACTATATTTTTCAATTTACTTTTTATTTTTCACAGATTAATTAAACGTTAATTTACAGAATTTAGGGGAATGCATGCTCCTTCCTGAGAATTTAATAGTTTTAAGTCCGGAGTGGTTCTGGCAGGATGTAATAAACTGGCAATTAAGTCTAGAACAGAGGGGTCGTCTTGGTGGTCGAACTACAGGGGTTTATGCTTTAGAAGATTTTCAGGCTCGTTGTCCTTGTCCTGCAGGACAAGCTTTGCAAGCTTTACAGGCTGTAAATTTGTGTGTTGCAGTATGTATTTGGATGTACCGTGATTTATATTTTACACTTTTAAATAATCTATTTAGTAATATAAATTTATTTAACTTTATCTTAGTGCGAAGTGGATGATGATGAAGTAGAGTATGAAATTCCATGTTTGAATTTTATCGAGCGCCTACCAGGATTATGGGAACCATGGAAATCTAACTCTAATAGTTTGCCACATACTGGTCTTCGTCTAGCCCCATCTGAGGCGCCGTTGTATCATTTGATTGCAGTATTTCCACATTTACAAGTATGCAGTAATGAATTTTTGTTCATTATACAACTAAAAATAAATGCCTTTCTATAATAATGTGTTTATGTAGGCACAATTGAGAAAAATCACTCAATCATGGGATCCATCGAATTCAGATTTGTATCAATGGTGGAGAGGATCGAAATTATGCATCGGTCCTTGTGAAAGTATCATTACCTTCGAAGAAGAAGAACAAAGTTGTATGGAAATAAGGGTACGCGGACCGCGAGGCACTAGTGCTCAATGTTTTGCTCTTTTCAGCATTATTCTTGATGCTATTGAAACAACAATTGAATTAGTAGCTCCTGGAATGTTACTTGAAAGACATTGGCTAAGTCCTAGTCAACTTCGAGAGTATGATGAAGTGAGTCATTTAATCATAAGTAAACTAGAAATATGTAGTACAATTAAAGTATATATTTAACGATTTGTATGAAACTCTGTAGGTTATACATTCATGGGAACCAGCACCCGTTATATCAGCTTTAATAGATAAAGGTCTTGAAGAAGCAACACTTAAAAATCCTTTAAATGGTCGAGAAGAAACTGTATGGGAAATAGTAAGTTGTGGACTACCTTTAGTAGAAAACTGTCTTCCTGGACCAAAACAGGCAATAAAGTACATCAAGCCTGCTGTACAAAGAAGATTAGCACAGATGCTCGATCCACCTGATCGTCACGGAAGAGATTGGTGTTTACTCGCTGTTAGACTTGGTTTAGGAGATCGAGTAGCTCAATTAGATAGCACAGTAGACAGTCCAACTTTGAGGTACGTCAAATTTGTTACAAACATTAATCTATTTAATCTTATATTTTATAAAATTTATTACTTAATAGATTACTAAACACGGCGGGGGCTGATTGCACCGTGGGATCTCTGATACAACAATTACGAGCTCTTGACCGAGAAGATGCTGTACACCTTTTACTCTCTTATGCACCAACGTACATATTGTCGACGGCTACTGACTCTGAAACAGGATCTAATCTTTCCAGATGACAATGTTGCATTTATCAATGGTGCATTAATACTTTCTAAAATACGAATTTCTGAAGGAAATTTTTTCCACGTTATGGGTTTGATAGACTTATTACGTCACCGCTTCCGCCCAACATAAATCGTGCATTGCTCTTTAAGCTAAGTACGTACATTATAGTACATTGTCCGTGTACTTCTTTAGAAGTATGTTGAAATGCACATGCACTGATGTGTACTTTTATATCAAAACACTAGAATTTCTTACGAGCTTTTACGATTCTAAAAAAAATATAATTTAAGTATACTTGTTAGCATAAAGAATATTTATAATTCTGTTTGTTAGGTTTGAAAATATTTACTTACGAAGATGTATATGAGCGAAGTTTTAGTTTTTAATGTTTAGAGTTTCTTTTTGGTATTTGCGGTATTTCTAAGTGTTTGTATTGTGATACTATATTGTATGATTATCTACATCTCTGATCGAGTTTCTTAAGTGAATTTGTATTAGGCAAAATAATTCTAAATATTGTGTATGCACACGCGTGACCCATAAAACGCATTTTCATACTATATAACACGATATTATCGTATTTGATACTAATATTGTTTTGAAAGCTTTTCTTGATATGCATATATACTATATCTTGCCAAAAATCAGTGTCAATATACGCTGCTTTCTATGATATTTAGGAACTATTTACGCAAAAACAAAGAGTGAAACAGTTCGCACAATCCTTTGCTTTTGGTACATTTATGAAAGCTCCATTATTATATGGACATTTTTTACTAAATCGACATTCCTAATATATTTATTATGTGCCATAAACAAGACTTGCTCATTTATACCTATTAAAGCATTAAAACGTTTCTCTAAAATATCTAAATTGATCCTGTTATCGTTTATGGAAACAAAGCACTTTCCTATTAGCGACTCAAAGCTTACAATGCGAAGGATCACTGTTCAAAACAAATTTCAAATAGCGACAATGAATTTTGACATAAGATTATTCGTGTTTTGCAGGCACAAGAATATTACACACGGTGCACTGTTCATGTGCAATGCACATGGATATATATCATTAAAAACGAGTAAAATTTATTGTTCATAGAAGACCTATTCTTTGAACATATCTAGTATGTATTAACTCTATCCAGTGGACACTACTTATACATGTATAGCGTGTTAAATTGGGTCTTACTTTACATGACACAATGTTTGATACAAATCTTAAGTGTGTGAGAAAATTACAACACGACATGTAAAATATGAATATTGCGAACACGGTAAAAGTAGTGTCTATAATTAAAAAAGTACATTAAAAAATTAGCTTTCATTTTCTTTTATGAAATGTATCTAAGATACTTCTGTTGTCTCTGTGTTCTATTCGTACGTGTTTATTGTACAATGAAAATTTACTATAATGCTATACAATTATATAGACTCGAAATGTCGAGCTTTTTGGTACCGAATTATCTTCTAAAATTGCTGCTCTCAGGTTTGCATTTTTCACGCACTGTGTTCATCTTGCATTTACACGTCGACGTTTGAAATATTGAATTTTTTAATGTTGTACGTTTTGTGAGGAATTGTTTTTGTATTATGCACGTTCGATCGTGAACAAACGTTTACTTCTGAAAATTTTTCATTGCTCAGTATTGTTAATTAATTATATAACACATTGTACGTTTATTTAAGAAAAAAGAAAAAAAGAAACAGCTTTACAATTAACTTTAAGAACACGTTCAAATTTGTCCGATACGCTTTAGTATTTGTGTTTTGTAGCTTTCGCTTAGTACAATGTAGAAACAATTAAGTAGTTATAATTAAGGCGAAAATTAACAACACAACGCAAGTTTATACGCAACATGGACATTTTGCAGAATAAGAAATTGATAAATACGTAAATACGACTATGATACGTCGTTGTTATTTATACCTTGTAAAAATAGAAGAATAATAGAGATCTTGATTCTGTTGTGAATAATAGTATTTACAATTTTCTAGTTTTTATAACTTCGATGTCAGAAGAAATTGCTCTTTCTAAAGCTGACTTGTAAATTTGCTTAAGAATGAAATTTTATGCAGTCTCTAGAGAGATGATAACTTGATGAAATTTATCATTAGAAAGATTGTATTCTTGAAACTATAATCAAAATTGATACCGAAGTGTGGTATTAGTGTTTTAAAGTCCCGAATTTCTAGAAAAAAGTAAAGAAAAGTTATTGTAATATAGAATAGATCTGTAAATATCTATGATGCACAGTAGATTGCGTTTAAAGCAAGTCAAGATCTGCTCTTAAATTAACTGTTTGCAAAGTGTCAAGAAGTTGCGTTCAATTTTGTTCATCGTGTATCGATTTAATAGAATGTACTTACTTACGTTTCTTATAAATACCTTTGTAAAAACATTCGACCGACAGTAGTAACAGCGAATACAAATTTTCTGGTTAAGAACATATATACTGCGCATTTATTTGTAAAGAGAAGGGATAAGAAATACATTAGCTGAAAGAAATGTGTACCTATTCCTTTTGTACTAGAAAAAGATGTCAATAAAACCATGTTGCTTCATAAGTGAACTTCATTGCTAATTTACCCTAAAACTATCACCGTATTTTATTCACTAAAGTTTATGCCTAAAAGATGTCGATTATCATCGTTACTGATTAATTATTCTTATCGCTAAAAACCAAAGATCTATAAATGTTAGGTATAACAATCGGAACAACGACGAGATTCCCGCGTTTTTACCGCGTCCTGCAAGCGTGGTACTCGATATCGATTCGATGGATCGATGGAGGCCGCTGTGAGAAGCGGGAAAATTCAAATATTCGAAAGGCAGTGTGCACGATGTGGCGCGAATTAGAAATTTTTCAAGCAATCAGAAAACGAGGGAATGCTTTCCAATATGGTGTTTATCGTGCAGACTCGGTTACGTGGCCGACAGGAAACAGGAACGGAATTCCTTCGGGCCGAGAATAGCATAAGGGAGGTGGAGATCGCGTTTCGTTGGTAGTCAGTGCGGCGAGTAGCAATCAGCCAGTAAAGAGCCGGGATAAAATCGGGACGATAGCCAACAAGGCGACAAGCAATTATAGAATTGGATTGGATCGAGAAGTTCGAGGAGGCCCGAGACGCCGGTTTCGTTTTATTTTAGCTTAGCTTTCGAAGGCATCCGGTTGTACATTCTCATCGCGGATCATCGCAACGATTATAGTGAGTGTTTGTCCCCCTTTTAACTCTAACTTGTCTTTTCTTCCGTGCTGTTTGTTATTAAATGTTACTTATCGGTGAGTAGCGAACGGTTCGCGAGCCGTAAGCCAAGCTGCGTCCCGTTCGTTCTCCATATCACGTACTCGACGAACTAGACTAGCTAAAGTAAGTACTTCGATTCGTGTTAGAAACAATAAAACGAATTAAATTGAATTTTTTCCACCGTTGCTTTTTACGAAACAAATTCGAGATTTTTTTAGTCACCTTTTTTCGGACGTGTTTTTTATAGTATCGAGACGGTTGCAGTAGATATGGCGCGATCATGAACAGACCAACGCAGTCAGCGTTGCTTTTAATTTTGGGGTTATGAATCAGTTACTAACGCATCGGAGATTTATCATCTACTATTTATCTTTATTTTTTAATAAATAAAAAGTGTAATAAATTGGTATCTTATCAATTCATTGGTAGAATATTAATTATTTTCTTAATGAGGTTAGATTTCCGAGACATACCGAGTGACGATAAAATTGGAATTGATTTTATCGTAAAATTTTTCGAATTAATGTTGAAAATCGATCAGATTCTAGGAACCGACAGAGGATAATTGATAGAAAGGAAGAAGAGCACAGATCGTCATCATGGAGGCGATTAAGAAGAAGATTGCGGCGCTGAAGCAGGAGATGGACGCCGCGAATGAAAAAGTCGAGACGAATGAAACTAAACAGAAGCAGGAGAACATGCGAGCAGACAAGCTGAACGACGATTTGAGGGACCTGCAGAAGAAGTTGGCTCAGCTCGAGCGAGATTACACAATAACCAAGGCGAATTTAGAGCAATCAACTGCTGATTTGGAGCAATGCGAAAAGTCTTGGTCTAAGGTGCGTAAAGACATGCACTAATTCGATCTGAACAAGTTCACATTGTGTAATCGGCGAAACGGTGTTAATAGGCGGAGCAAGATCGAACCACGTTGACGAAAAGAGTGCAGGAAATCGAGGCGTCGCTCACGAAAAAGGAGGAATTGCGTCTTTCTGCTCAGCTGAAGCTTGGACGTGCGTCAGAACTTGCTGATGATGCGCGGAGGTCCATATTGCAATTTGATTAAATCCCATCTTTTCTTAATTAATTTAACTGCCTTTCTGAAATTTAAATCATTTCACTTAAGAACACTGTGAAACTTAAAATTT